CAAAGCTTTTGCTCTCAAAATCAACCTTGTAAGTTAAAAAAAGCTTCAAAAGAATAATAAGCAGTCAATGCCACAGTCTGTTCTTTCTCTTATAAAGATACAGGCTTCTGCCAGTGCAGAGGGCGAGGGGAACGGGAGCACATTCCCCCTCCAAGACGTGAGTCGGGTCCCTGCCTGGACAGCCCCTTCTCTGATCCCACCCGGACCCTCTCGGCTCGGCGGGGCGGATGCTGGGCTCAGCCTTCAGCACTTCCCAGCCGAGCGCATTGCGCGGGGGCTACATGCTGGTTCACTCGGCCTTCCAGGACTTCAGCTGGGAATTAACGTTTAATTAATTTGTTTCCTTGTAAACTCCGTCTCTACCACCCCCATTTCCAGTGCCAGAGCAGCTGCCCTGGCTGTGCCCTCCCTGTGCTCCATGGCCATCACTGGGATCAGACCTCACTCCGCTCCCGGGCCATTACTCTCCGTTACTTACAGAGTAAGTTCAGCTTATTGCAAAAGAAAGAGGTGCTGCGTAGTGCCCAAAGGGACCGCTGCGGGACACAGCTTGTGCTTGGGCCAGGGAGAGGCTTTATTTATCTGTAGTGACCCTCACATAGCGAACTCTGGGTTACAAACGAGCTTTTATGCTTTTATTGCAGTAACTTGGTTTCCTATCAGCACTGATGGAAGAGGAGGGTTGCAAAAGGTTATCAGTGTTTTGCATCTTGCAAAACTGGAAAATATCAATTTCCTGCAGACATCAAGGCCTAGACCAAAAAAAGTTCACTCGAAAAAACTACACCGTATAGCTTGTATGCACAGTTTTTACATATACACACAGTAACTGCCGGCACAGAGCAGCCCCTGTCCAAAAGTCATGGTAACAGCATACCCAGATTACGCAACCGTATTTTCATTCGTGTTTCTTGCCATACTTGTGTGTGTTTTCTTTCACGTCTGTTTTTCCTCTTAGTGCTCCTATAGGTCTACAACTCACATCTATCTCCAAAAATCCCCTTATTTCAGTTCTGCACTTATGGCATCAGTGGGCAAAACGGAACTTGCCGTTATTACTGCAAACTAAAGTCAGGCTGGTAACCCCGAGCTCGCAAGCTGGCTCCCCGCTCCCACAAGAGAAATCACTGATGATGGTCAGACACCAAAATAAACAAAAAAGGCAACTCCATCAATAACCAGCGATTCCCTCAGAAATCCTAACGCTGCACATTCTGCTGATGAAACACCTCTATTTCCGTTTCATTTGTCTTTCCCTCTTTCCTTTTACTCCTCTTTTCACAGCTTATTTGCACACTCCTTGTGTTCACGGCACTTTGGGTGATACCCAGGTGTGGAGCAAGATCAGGCAGGTGCCAGGAAGCCCCTGGAAATGAAGCTGTTCCCGGCAGGCCTGGAGTTGGTCCTCTGAGACAACAAATTCATTCTTAACAGCAGGAAGATTCAAGCGGTAGAAAGACCCAGAGTGATCAACTGCCCATCCAGCGCACAGTTACAAATATTTTCTGTTGAAAGAACATTTTTCCCCAATATAAAGGTTTTTCCAGTGCTAGCAATGGTGGCAGAGAGACCCCCAGTGGCTGGGTGCAACATAAGCATTCACCCTTCACATCCCCACCGCCTCTCGGTGCCCCCCGGGAGGCAGGCGGGAGGGTTTGGGGGGGGGATGAAGGCCAACATAGTCTTCGGAGCCGGTGGGAACAGCCCCTCTGGGAAAGCCGGGGCAGGACATCACTGCTTCTCCCGGTGTCAGACGGAGCTGTGACCGTCCTCAGTGGCCGGACCCGTACTCTGAAGAGGGTGGGACTGACTGCTGGGCTGCTTTGGCCAGCGGTGGAAATACAAAACAAGACAGATAGTCGCTCCGAGTTAAAAAGCAGTTTGCGTTTCTAGCCTGAAAGATCATTTACCTCTTTCCAAAGATTACTTCACTTAAAAGAGTAGTTTTTATTTCATTCGTTTTCCTTTTAAACTCAAATGAACTAAACTGGGTTGCAAGGACTTTTTACAAAGTCAGACCAAACTCTGAAAGAATATTGGTGGCTTTAAACTGTATTTGCAGCAGATAAAATATTCATGTAAAAAAACCAAAAAAAACCCTAGGAGTCCTATTTTCCTTATGAGAATGCATGCACGCTGGACATAAAGCCTGAGTATTAATAATGCGATGGCAAATTATATCAGTAATAATAATAGCTCAGTGTTGCTTATGACCATGCAGATGCACTGAAAGCTAGCACAGCAGCAAGCCAAGCTATCCTCAGTCAAACCAAGGCTGAAAACTCCACCTGCCTTGTGAACCAGCCAGGGAATCGGTGGTTTTCATCCAAGGAGCTGCTGCCACAGGCACAACCAGCGATACAGCTGAGGCTGCAAGAAGATGAGGGGTGGATAATTTGCAGGTCCACAGTGTCCTCTTTGCTGGACATGCACCTGCTGTGATTTTTCCACCCTCAAACAGCAACAGCTCAGCATTCCCTACGGCAGTCCATATAGCCACATCAGGCTGATCAAGATGAAATATCAACAAGCCATAACACAGATGTGCAAAATGTAACAGTTATATAATGAGGAGGAGTTTTATCATGCAGTGAAAAAGCAAAATATTTTGCTTTTCATTACCAGTAATGTTCTGCTTTGTTTTGAAGCTCCATCACAGAGCAGATTTCAGCAGAGGCCAATTCAGGAGTCCCTGCTAGAAGGCCAGTCCCACGCACCAGCACCCCCAGGGGGCTGGCCTCGCCGTGGGCTGCTGACCCCAGGTCCACTGCAGGGCTCCATCTCAGAGCACCATGCCAGCCATAAAAACTTGCAGTTGATCAGCTTTGTTTCTACTCCGCGGTCCCACAGGGAGAGCTGCATTTTAATAAACACAATGATAGTTAGAAACAGACTTCTTCAAAGGGCTTTACAAACATAACTCAATCCTGGCATCACCAGGAGACAGTAGAAGCGGTGTTTGGACAGATGGCGGGTGGCAGGCAGAGAGGTTAGGCGTGCTGCCTCCCCTTAGCGGGTCCGGGATTCGGGGCTCAGGTCAGGCCTCGTTAGGGGGCTCGCTAGCTCACATCCACCTGCTCCCACCAGGCCCCCAGGCCCCTCTCCAGCAGCCCTCAGGCCACCCTGGGCAGCACCGTTTTAAGTGACCGTGTGGTGCTTGGGCTGTTGCATTCGCTCTCCAAGCAGGTAGGAGAGTGTGCAGCAGCACCTCCTAAAGCCCCACTGCTCCTCGCGTGGAAACATGGCTCCTTCTTCTTGCCCCCAGCAGCCCGGGCTGCGGCACGCTCCGCGCGGGGAGAGCGCGGCTGGGGCACCCACGCAATGAAAACAAAGTCCGGGGGGGGGCACGCAGTGCTGGCTCGGCAGAGGGGGGGGTTCCTCGGGCCCCGCAGCCAAAGCT